AAAATAACTATTTTATGTCCGGAAAAAACTCCACTAATATTCATTACTACACCAAGGGTTCGAAACAGTGCATCATAAGTTATGGAAACTATAAAAGAGTCATTTGGAGGCAGATAGTACATAGGTACTTTTCTGTTTTTTCCTATGAGAAGTATATTTGTCCGTTTCTTCATCGATATGCAAATTCAATTTACTCAAAATTGTTATATTTTTCACTCATATCAAATTGAGAATATTCTGAAATATTGTATTCATTGACAATCTTATCAATACTCCTGCAAACTCCTTCTCGAGTATTTTTGACCAAAATGAAAACATATCCCTTGCTATAAACCTGTTTGTGATGTAAAATGCGATTTGTAATATAATACAAATATATTATTGACAGTACCACTGTATTTTTTGTGCAAGGGGTCAATTCAACGGTTCGTGATCTTTTTTCCAGTTGTCTATTTTGGCATTCACATGTTATTTTAATTAGGTTGTCACCATGGTTATAAATAATTCAGTTAACGGGCAAACTTTTTTCAAAAATTCAAAAATATTCACACCCACGTCCTGTTCATTGAAATAATATGAAATTTTAAAGTTTTATAACATATTTTGTCATGTTGATGTTGAGATATGATAATTTCAGTAATAAATCGAAAAATTTTCAAAAATATACGCTTTCAGTTATTCAAATTATTAACAAAACAAGTACTGTTCCCAATAACCAGAACTGCATTACTCTCCTAGACGCGCTTTTCACCAAACGAATTGGTGTCTTCACCAAACTCGCTTCGAGAAGAGTATTGTAGTTCTGGAGATTGGGAAGAGTGCTTCTTTTGAATTCATTCTATGCCAGATGTTCACGTTTCACCTTTGATTGTTCAGATTATAATAACAATATCCCTCAGACGGTTATTACACCGGATTTGTCGAATGAGGTTCGAAATATTTGAAGCTATTTATTTCAGTCAATGTTGAAGCTTGACCATGTCCAAACTTGTAGACAGATTGAGTTTTTTGAAGATCTGTATATTGTTGTGAATTTTGCAACTGAGTTCGCGACTTTTCTTCTTATACATCCCCATTGAGTTCAAATCAAATGAATGGAAATAATAACTGGGAGCACCGTCTACAATATTTTTTGAAATGAAAGCTCATCTATCGAACCACCAGCATACAAACACCATAGGATTTTGAAAATGGCATTTGGTGTGTCCGTGTTTTGTTCAAAATCAGTTATTCTATAAATACTCGTACCACCATTCTGGTATTTCATAAACACACTGTATATAATTATAACTACAGAACCTTTTAAGAGACAAAATGGGAAAACCATCTGTTAACTTAACTCTTTGTTACATAGGAAGGGGACCATCTACGATAGTCACTTCCCTTGTGAGTATTTCAACATTCACAACCACAACACACTTTTGCATTCCGAAAGGTGCCGACAAAAAGTTGTGTCATTATAGTGATATAAAAATCTTTTATGGGCATCGCATTCAACAAGCCTTATTACATTAACCGAAAGCGAGTATCTGACGATTTTTGGTGCTCAGCTCCGATTTGTTTTGCTGTATATGATTATATTGCTCCACTGAAACTGGATAATTCGTATGAAAAGTAATTTTGTTCAGTTTTGCGGTGTTCATTAGCAGACTTATTAATTACTTAGGATGAACTCTCCACTCTGTGTTCAGAGATAATACAAAGTAATTTTGCCACCAGTGTGGCGCGTAGAGCCAAAACTCTTTGAGTTATCATGTGAGAGCACAACAACTCTTTTAGCATTAGGATTCCGGAAAAAAAAATTCTCAAAGTAGAAATTTTCAGCTACCCGCTTCAGGCTGACACCTAGATGGCTACGGAAATGTTGAGAACTGAAAGAATTTACAAAGACAGAACAGATTTTCGAGAATGGTACGAAATGAAAGGATGGTTTGTATGTTATAAATAAATATTTCGAACCCATGTTGATCGCAGCGTTTTTCACCGAATTGGGAAAACGATCATTCGTTTTCATGAACAAAACACAAGTACTACAGGAAAATCCTTGAGACGCTCTAAGAGCGGTGCCTGTGCGAAAGTTACTATTCACGTTGGATTTGAATTGCTGGAGATTACAGTCATTTGAAAAAACATTCTCTGTAAGTTTTTCCACATAAACGCAGTTCTACAAATGGAAGAGTTCTTAAACAGTAAAGTTTCATGTGTACTGAGTTGAACCTCAAAACGATGAGCAGCCACAGTTCGTCGCGTATTGTTGTGCCAAGTCACTTGAACACCTCCCGTGAAAGCATCTATAAAAGAGAGACAAATCTCCGACCTTTCTTCGATGTTCCAGACTATCAAGGTTGCAAGTGATCTTCGTGTCCCCAATTGGAAGAATGGCTCTGTTCTGGATGGAATTCGGCAGCTTCCGGGTATGCTTAGGGGCGGGGCTCCATACATGAGAACCATACTCCAAGGAAGATCTGATCTGAGCTTCATGAAGCATCAAAAGTTGCTGAGGTGTGTACCGTTTTCTGGTTCGGAATAGTTTTCCAAGATTTTGAGAAGCAATATTTGCAATTACAGCTACATGATTGTGCCAAGACATATTAGTGTCCATCTCAACCCCAAACAAATGTATCGAAGCAAAAAGCAGTATTGTTTTTTCTGACATTATTATATCCTGTTCGGAGACATTCATCTTTTTGCGAAAAACCGATACCTGGGTTTCATGGCATTGAATTGAATCTGGTCACTTTCATCCCTAGATCCTCACCTCTAGATCCTCAATGAGATATGCAACCTCCTGCTGCAGGTGAAGATGTGAATCCGCAGCCGATTTTATAAGTTCATGAATTATATCAAGAAGGTTACGTATACCGCCATCTACCCGCGAATAGATCAAGCAATACTGTCGATATATCAAGGAGGTTACGTTCAGCGTCATTTGCCTGCTAGTAGATCAAGCAATAATGTCGATAATTCTGTCAAATATAGATCCAGATATGAAATGAAAACAAGAGTTACAAACAAACATACATACAGTAAAGCTAATTTAAAGCGTGTAAAAATGATCCGACAAGCCATAGCATCAAAATTTGGCTAGCAAACTCTGGCGTAGTCTGAGTTGAAGAAATTTCAACTAATTACCTACTTGTCTGGTTATCCCAAATGATCTCTATCTGACTAATACTATTCCAGAGGTCTCCTTCATTTCATGCATCTTGAAAAATAGAAATTTTCATTAACTTCAGGATTTACATATGGAAACAAGTAAGCCGTAGAAATATGTGAAAATTTTTGAATTTACTTCAACAAAAGCATTTCTAAAAACCCTGAAACGTTATGTCAGTTGAAGTTTGAAGTGGTATTGTACCAGCTGCAATTGAGAGGAAATACAGAGTTGCAGAGCCAATATTCGAATTGTAACTGCACGGATTGAAATATGTCGAACCTAAGTGATTTTGAAGGAAGTGATAGGTCCGAAAAGATCCAAAGTCACATAAAGAAAGAATTGCCACGATGGAATATAGATCTGATTTTGGTATTCCCTTTTTATATTCGCTTTGCTTTGCTTAAATCCCTCAACAGGTTTACGTTAACTCTGATAATTCCTTACAAGAAACTGTTGCTCTTCTGAATTGAAGTCAAACATGTCTTTATAGATTACGGTCTTGAGATGTAGAGAAATCTACGACTCATTACAATCGGTTTACAAATCTACATTTCGTTTTCAGTAACTACTGATTAGCTCAATTTCAAATAGCCACATTATCTTGTGTGAAGTATCATAATATTGCCTTGTACTGTTTCCAGTTCAGTCCTCGCAATAAAATATTTATAATATGAACTATGTCAGTGAATTTATGATTCGCATTCATTATTTCATGATCGTTCATTGTGGAGTAAGTAATACAAATTAAACTCAAACTCTCTTCTAAAAAAGATATTTTTAGCACTCGTACCTAATTCAACTGGAGTTTTCATTTCGTCTGAAATACATAATTGAATCTCTTGAATGATATCGGAAATTGGTTGAATTATTGTTATTATTGCTTATGTCGAATTAGCGTATAGTAATTTGCCAATTCATTACGAAGTATCACAAATACGTTTTGAACGGGACCACACACCGGGTTGTTATTCTGTATTTCTACTTCTGTTTCTGCTTGCTGTTTCATTGAAAATATAGAATTATGATTGTATGTATTTGTTTCAACAACTAATCGGTAACGATTCCATTACAGTTATTCTTTCATCAACGTATCGTGTGGTGTAAAGGACTAATATTTGAATAGCCGAAAAAGAAGTTGATTGAAGTGAGACAACCACACTGTCTGCGCATGTGTATATATTTCATATTGAAACAAATGGGCTTGAAATAGTAAACAAGTCCTAAAGCTTGAAATAAGTTATAACATTTATTAAGTCTGAAATTAAAATAAATCTACTTATGGAAAAATTAATTTTGTTGTAAAAAAGCATGATTCGACAACCCATCTTCATTTCGGTCAGGTTGGAGCCTGGGTGCTAAATATACATTGTTATAAATACTTGGTAAAGAGCTGTTTGCCAGATTGAAGCTTTTTTACAGCAAAATATACATATTTTTTAAAAGATTTATTCTGATTCCAGGCTTATTGAAAGTCATTAGTTACATCAAGCCGCAGGACTATAAGTCCTGCGGCATGTAACGATGATGTAATGATGAATTATTTTTTATTTTGAGTTGCTAGTGAAGCGTGTTTTTTTTAGTGTTTTAAACTATTATTCATTATAATTACGATTTGTATAAAAACTGCAAAAAATTTGGTTGAATATGATGGCAACCTACTCTCCATAGATTTAAAACCCAATGTGGAAAACTATTTTTTTTCTAAATAGTTTTCTCAGTCTGTTACTGACAGTATAGGAACATTTTCAAACGAATAAATGATTATCCCCTACCACGTAGTAACATCTACATCCATCAGTTCATCAAATACAAATGGTAATTCATACTTTTGTAATTGTTTCAGGAACTTTGAGGCCACCCGGGTTGATTGGAGGTAGTAAACCCAAAGTAGCCACCCCTGCAGTAGTTTCAAAAATAGAGCAGTATAAAAGGGAGAATCCCACGATATTTGCCTGGGAAATACGAGAAAGACTGATATCGGAAGGTGAGATTCAATCTATATATTAGTTCACAATTGCAGGAAAACTTATAAAATCAGAACTTTTACTTTGTACTCCACTTTGAATTGACGAATATAGTGAAAAAACAAGTAAGTGAACACATAAATATGAAGGTGATTCAAAAACAACAGTTTTCTCAACATTCAAGATATGATATTGAGCAGAAGTTGGAAGACATTATTGATGTGAAGAAGTTACTTTCCTGGTTTTATTGGACGTGGTCCGCAGGTTTTTACGCCTGACGTTTCGTCTACTTCTGCGGAAGACATCATCAAAGGCGATGTGGTATCAATCGCAGTGCCCAACTCGGTTCTCCCGTTGTTCTGAATGCATTAACTACGATGCTTTGACTCCAGTTTTATATTATTATTAGTGAGCGTGGCTTGGATTTCATGACCTTGTTTGTATACTTCTTGAGACAGGTACCCAGATTTTGTTGATGTTCACCACTTCTTTGTAATTTGTTCAGAAAGATGGGTACCTACACCGACCCGCAGCTATAGAGAATCTGGTGTAACTTGGGTGTTGCTGAAGGTTCTCTGTGGTCTTTAACTGCCCTTAGACTTTGTCTGATACAGTTTGTTGGCCACGTCGTGTTTTTTTAAGAATATCCCAATCCTGATTCTCCACCATAAGGAAGGAAAGCTCTTCGCTTGGGCAGCCTAGCTGGAGTTATTTTGGCATTCTGTCCTGTATCGTATGGCCTGCTCGAATTCTCCTTTGCTGTACTTATTTTATTTGAATGCATTCTTCTTTAGAACATGCTCTCAACAAATGAGTCATACTCTCATTATCTCATTCGAAAATACAGTTATACTCGATGAAACTGAAAATTACTATTCAATAGTATATAGAGAGACAATAGAAATTGAAACACACAGGGTTGATTTTGATAGAAGAGAAGAGGCAATGAACCTCAACGAAACTTGGCTACCTGTCCTTAGAGGTAAGGTTATTCAATTAGGAGGAATCAAGCCACGTCCATGTTCGGGACAACGAGAGTATAAACTGGAGTACTGCGGCCGTTACCACATCGCTTTTGATACTGTATACCGAAGTAGTAGGCAAAACTTCATTCATAAAAAGCTGTAGTCCACGGTCAGAGAATCCGGAAAATAACTTGAATACAGTTATTTCCGGCCATTGTTGATGATGAAAAGTTGCACTATTTGTTTTGTTCAAAATGTAAAGCGAATTGTTTAGGAGTCACAGAGTTCATATTCTCTTGAAGATGAATACTACTCTTGCCGGCTCAAGTTCGTGAATATCAGAAATGATCCAGATCGTAGAGCTGAATAATTTTTACTTAAGTTTTGATCGGAGCATAGCAGACCAGTTCGCACTATTACTAGATGTAAATACCTACTTGTGGAGGTACAAGCACTCCTAGAAAGATGAACTAGCTCATTCATTTATGAAAAAAGCAGAAAAATCGAAAGCGAGCTGACGGAAACTTCAAAGTCACAAATTTGTGGAAGAGGAAAGTACCATAAGTTTTATCAACCAGTAAAGTCTAGTGTCACTGAATATGTTTTGAAGAATGGCGATACATAAAACGAACTTTGCTTGAATTTTTTGTGATTGGTACATTACGAGAGTATCGCAAGATTTTGCAATTCTTCAAGAGCTAGTTCTTCATTTGCAATTTGCCCCAATACCGCTCAATTTGTGGATTCCACAATACAGGTTGCACTCATTTGTTTTGCCTTGCCGATGGCTTACATCGTATTTTAGTAATACGTGGTAAACTATAACTATTAATCGTTTTGGGGTTTAATTGAATAAATATCGAAGTTTTGAAAGTCTTTTATTAGAAGTACTGCGTGAATTCAATCCTACGTGAATCATCATTTCGGCACCACTCATATAATATCTCAAAAGATTTCCAACTGAGTTTGTGCATTTTGATGAAAAATATCTGTTATTTCTGAGCTGCATTGTATACAGTGCATTTCTTTGATGTCCTCCCCTTTTATATTTTGAACGAGTCCACTCAAAATACTGAAATTTTGGATAATGAAATTAATGCATAAATACTTTATTTTGAAGTGAAATTGTCAGATGAAACTTTTAAGATAGCGACTAGGTGCCATCTGGGAACAAAATTAAATGGAAAGGGGGGTCTTGTGACACATCTTTTTGAAGCTCCTGATAAATGCTTCACAACCCTGGAATATGATATCAATATCTTCAACTACTACAAAATGGCGAAACTTTTAATAATTGCCTGAATACATTGATATTCAACAACATAATATGAGGTAATAAGCTTGAGGTCAGTTCAGAAGATGCTCGAAATAGTTGCCTTGAACTTCTTGACATATGAATAGCCTATCCGATATTTCACGCCGAACATTTTCGAACACAGTAACGTCAATATCTCTACAAATATTCATTATTCTCTGCCGTATATTCAATATTGAAGCAGGTTCAGTTTCGTATACTTTCTGCTTAAAATAGCCTCATGAAAAAGTCCAAAGGTGTCAAATCTGGCGAGCGGGCTGGCCAATCTGTAGGAACACGACGGCCAATTCAACGACCAGGAAATGTAGTATCCAATAGATTCTTACTTGTCTGGAGTAACGTGGTTGTACTCCATCTTATTGGAATACAATAGCCACATCGAATTCATTAGGATTCGTTTCGACGATTTCAATGATGATAGGGTCAACAGTAGTTTCCAGCATATTCAAATGCAGTTTCCATGTTGAATTTTGATCAATGAATAGAGGCCCTACAATATGGTTTCCCAATATTCCTGCCCAAACGTAAATTTTTTCTAGATATTAAGTATGTGTTTACCGGAAAACGTGGGGGTTGGTGTCACTCCAATAACGGCAATTTTGTCCGTGAACATTGCCGTTCAAAAATAATGTACATTCGTCACTGAAACAAATATTGTGGAGATAGGTAGGATGCCATGCAATGGTTTCCCTCATGATTTCGCAGAATTTCGTAGGGTCACCTTCAGTTAATTGGTGTACCATTTTAATATTATATGGATGATACCAATTCCTCTTCAAAAGTCTCCACACAGTAGAAGGAGACACCTCACAAACATTCGCGACGAAATAAGTAGACTGTTCAGGATTTTCTACCATTTCACCAATTATTTGCACTACCGGTAGTTGTGAATTTCGATACAAATTCCCTCATATAATTTCTACACATAGGACGATTCGGAAAACGTTCATTGAAAATCCTTTCGGTCTCCTGAAAGTTACGCGTCCCACCGTACTCAAAAATCTCTTTAATTTTTTCTTCTAATGGACGAGAATTGACCATTTTAGAGATTGTTGACGTGTTACTTTTCTACCAGTAAAACCGAAAACTAAATGAGAATATTCTAACTGAACAATGATGTTTATTGTCGTACTGACATTTTTTGTCGTTTTATAAATAAAAAATAACTTAAAAAACCTTATCGGGTTGTTGGAATTGCCATGTGGCAGATGAAAAGGAATATTTCTAGAAATATGGATATCAATGTGTTTGTCCGCCATTTTGTAGTAGATAAAGATATTGCCTTCATATTCAAGGGTTGTGAAGTATTCGTCAGCAGCTTCACAAGACCCTCCTTTCCTTCCAATTTTTTTTCAGATGGCGCTCAGTCCCCAACTTGAAAGTGTCATCTGTCAATTTTACTTCAAACTAAAGTATTCAGGCATTTATTTCATTATCCCAGATTTAAATTTTTTGAGTTGACCCGTTCAAAAATTAAAAGGGGGAGACATTAAAGAAATTCATTGTATTCCAACTTCACAAATGTTTTCATACAGCTCACGGTTTATGAAGTTTCAATACATATCAACACCGTTGACCTTATCTCTGCTGTTATAGAGCCATGCTACACCCATTATGACAGAAGTTGAAATGCAACCGCGCATAAATCACAGTGGAAGAATCCGAGAGCACATTGTATAATTACAAGATGACTGATCAATGATTAATAATTCCGTATTTATCATATGGCAGCATTGATCATGATCGCGCAGGGATACATCTCTCAGATACGCATCGATACGAGAGAGAAGAAAGATGATTTATCTTCTCGGCTAATTTCCTATTCATCCCTCTGGCTAATGAAGGAATGTCCATCGATAAATTCATTTTCGAATTCAGTTTTTATTGTTAAATTATAGTAGCTACATCTGAATGTAATGTATTACATCTGATGAATATTTATGATATTCCGCTGAACGAAAATGAGTTATTGGATGTTTTGGTGTGTATGGTCATATGCATGAGGACTGGAGCGATCAATCGGATGCTGGTAATGGAATAATGGTGGCATAGGTCAAAAATAAAAATTGATAGTTGTTAGCAATTCAATGTAAAATATGAATGAACAAGTATAAATTTTCATTTTATAGAATGAGGATATGAAAACTAGTGGACGGATTTGATGAATATCTAATGAAGAAGAAAATATTGTTAATTTATACACGTAGTAATTTCTGGATCGTATCATGAAGATAAAAGATGTATTTGTTGCAATAACTAAAATTATTTCATATCAGAAGTTTTCTCAGAACATGAATTTCTGGCTAACAAAACAGTTTAGTATTTAATAACAGTCAAAACTAATTCATTAAGAAAATCAAGGACTTGAGGTTATGAAATTTGTTTTTACTTCATATATTTTTTTATGTAGGTATTCTCAGAAGTACATCATAATCTATTGGATATTTGACAGACCTTAGGATCAATGGTCTAAGTGATAAAGAGTTGAAGAATACAATATACAACTCCCATTGATTTGCATCCAACATTATTTCTTTTAGTTCAACAACTGATTCTCTAGACAGCACGAAGGTAAGGTAAAGCAAAACCTGTTGATCGATTCTTGAGCAGATGAAACAAAAGGTCACTGAGATTATTTTCCACGACCTTGGATCTGATATATAGATATAATTTCCATTCGAGATGAGATGAAATTACTGATAAATAAATTTCAAAATTCAAAAATTGTGTCTAGATATTA